CAAACTTACAACAAACAAACAACTAACAAAAGAGATAACTTCTGACCTGAAAAATTTACACCCATATTTTCCCAGACTTTATGGCCTTCCCAAAGTCCACAAAAATAATTTACCTTTTAGACCAATAGTTTCCGACATTAATACTCCCCTATATAAACTCTCAAAATACATAAGTAACATTTTGACTACAATAACAAAACAATCACCACACTACATAAAAAATTCTTATGAACTCGTTACTGACTTAAAACACAAGATAAATTATATACCAGACAACTACAAACTAATTAGCTTAGACGTAGTCTCACTTTTTACTAATGTACCCCTAGACCTTATTTTAGACGCAATAACAATCCGATGGAATGAAATTTCCCCGTTGACTTCTTTATCTTTACACTGGTTCAGGGAAACTGTCAAGTTCATTGTCTCTAACACTTATTTTGAATTCAATGGCTCTTTTATTATCAAATTTTTGGGGCGCCAATGGGGTCCCCAGCAAGTCCATCTCTAGCAGAAATATCCTTACAACTCCTTGAAAATACAATTTTTAAAAATTACAATAAACATATTTTTTATTACCGTTATGTAGATGACATTATCACTTGTATCCCTAGTGATGATGTCACTATGATAATTGATCAATTTAATAACGTCAATAAAAAACTAAAATTTACAGTGGAATTGGAGACAATGAACTCGATAAGTTTCTTAGACATAAAGCTCATACGTACTACAGATAACAAACTAATAACAAATTGGTATCAAAAACCAACTAATTCCGGACGCTACCTTAATTACTTTTCTTATCATCCACTCAAAATGAAAATAGGTACTATAATAAATCTAACGGACCACGCAATACTTCTATCGGACAAAACATTTTGGGACAACAACATCAAATTAATTACAAAAATTTTAACAGATAACTCTTATCCCCTAAAACTTATAAATTCCGTAACTAGTAACAGACGAACGTACCTTTTGAATAAAATGGACAATTGCACAGTACATAACGATTTACCTGACTCAGAAACTCATTCTGGTGTAATATGTTTGCCATACATTAAAGAATTGTATGTTCCTTGGAAAAAACTTTTTTATAAATCTGGACTTCGACTTGTAACCAATTTTAGTACAACTACTAGCACTATTTTTACAAAAACAAAAACCCCATTTAATATCGAACGACTCAGAAATCTCGTCTATCAAATAAATTGTTTAGACTGCAATTTAATTTACATAGGAGAAACTAGCCAGAACCTCAATAAACGGTTACAACAACATAAAAACAATTCAAAAAACCCCAAACAATTCAAAACTGTTCTTGCAGACCATATATACACTTTAAAACACAATATGGACTTTTCTAATCCGACTATACTACAATTTGAACAAAATTTATTTAAACGAAGAATTATAGAGGGATCTTTTTTAACTATTTATAACAATAAGACAATAAATAAACGGAATGAACTCAACACGCTGTGCGACACAAATCTCTTCTATTTAGATAACATTTCCAAATTTCTTACAAAACAATAAAAGCGTTCGCGCAAAGGTTTTACAATTCGTTCCACACATGTGCAGAATCTTGGTAAAAATATTTTTTAAAAAATGACTTTCTCCATTACATCTTCAACCAGTCTACGAATAACACACTATTCATTTGTGATTTTTTCAAATCAGTATTTTGTGAAAATATTGTGTAATTTCAAGTTAATGTTTATAATACATAGTGTAGTGCATTACCATATCCTAATACCATGGATTATTAAATTTTCCAATCTAACACTAAGATCAACTAATTGTAAGTACTAATTACTATTTTATTTTTTTCTTTTCACTCCAATTCAATTGTTTTAGTTTTTAATTTTATTTTAGTTTCCACTGAATGAAGGCTAGGATTATAGCCGAAACGTATGGATTTAAAATAAATTTTTGAAAGAAATTCATGTTTTTTATTGATGTTATGCCCGATTATTAGACTTTGTTAATATATATATATATATATATATATATATATATATATATATATATATATCTTCAGGTTTTTCTTCAGATGGTGAAATAATATGATAAAATTGTTTTTAGGGCATCCATCCAGTAATTAAAAAACAGTTTTTTTGAAAAATGTTTTTATTTAGAAAACATACGTTTCGGGTCTTGATTTGACCCATCTTCAGTGCATACAAATAAATTTTGAAAAATAACACAAAAACACACTAAATCTTATTGCTACAGGCCGCCTCGATGCGTTAAATGTGCAGGAGACCACTTGTCTAAGGACTATGAATGTAAAGACAAAATAAACGAAGGGATTAAATGCGTACTTTGTGTGAATGGAAAACATCCAGCAAACTATAAAAGATGCAAAAAATATATAAAAACATTTAATACATAAAAAATAAAAAAAAACATTTTTAATACATAAATACTTAAAAAAACATTTTTTCTTTTCACTATTACACAGGCCAACAAAAAAAATTTTTTTTTGGTGCCTCAAATGTTAGAGCTGATTCTTATAGTATTTTTGCGCTGATTTCAAATCTGCAAACCATTTCTTTGTATCAGCTCTAGTTTTTGAGATACAAAGAAGTTGCCGAAACCAGGTCCATTCGAGGTCGTCACGGAAAAGAACTTTTCACAGTGTCAAGTAATGTCCCAACTAAGGCCGAATGGGTCTTGTAAGTTTGTATGTACGAGTAGGCATATCTCCTTAAAATAACATTCGGAATTGTATTACTATTTTGTACTTTCGTTCCTCATATTAGGTGCGCAACTAAGTTCTCGCTGTTTGTCAGTATATGGCTCTAGCAGTAAGGGTTGGTCGATTTTGACAAATCCAAAACGTCTTGAAGCAAGCTTAGAGTAAGTAAACAAACTGCTGCCACACATAATTGATTTCGTTTTTGCATTATATACTTCTGGTTAAGTGAATATGTCCAATTTTATGCCAAACAATCGTTATTTGCGAGAAGTGTTGATTTTCGTCTTCTTTTTTAAAAAAAAAAAAAAAACGGGAATTTAAGTGCATCGAGACCTACGAAAATGTTGCTCTGAGCAGAACAACAGGCCGTGAAGGGTTCTTTCGCTTCAAAAATGGTGATTTTGATGTTGACGACCACCTTCGTGAAGGAAGGCTAAAACTTTCAAAAACGCTAAATTGAAGGCCTTGTTCGAAGAGGATTCGTGCCAAACTCAAGAAGATCTTGCTTTAGAATTAGGAGTTACCCATCAAGCCATTTCCAAGCTATTGCATGTGTCGGGGATGACTTAGAAGCAAGAAACTTCGGTTCCTTGTGAGTTGAAGCCAAGAGACGTCGAGTGTCGTTTTTTTGCCTGTAAACAACTGCTCCAGCGGCGAGAAAAGAAGAGGTTCTTCATCACATCGTGACAGGTGATAAAAAATAAATACATTACAGCAATCCAAAGACGAGAAAATCTCGGTTCGGCCGAATATTCACTTCGAAGGTTATGCTCTACATATGGTGGGACCAGGTCGGTGTTATTTGTTATGAGCTGTTGAAACCGAGTGAAACCATCACTGGAAAACTGTATCGAACTCAATTGATGCAATTTTTTTTTAATAAAGTTACATTTTCATCGAAAAAACAGCGAGAACTTAGTTGCGCACCTAATATCGCATAATATATCATATATATCGTATCTTGAAAACTAAAGCTCATAGAAAAAAACAATGTCATTTTTGAAATCAGCGCCCCAAATATACTTAAAAACAGTATTAAAATCGTTTGCACCATTTTCTTTGTTGACCTGTGTTATATATAATATATATATAATAGTCAATTAACTTTAATAACTTTGCAAAATATATAAATCAAAAATGTTATATATCTTTACGTTTAAAAAATTTACTTTTCTGTTCATATACTTTATAATATCGATATCCATTTAAGATCAATAATTTAAGTATTTACATCCAGATATATAAAAACAACACACACGCACATTCGCACAGATTTTAAGTCAAGTGTTTCTCCTTAAAATTTATCCCTTCAATAATCAGCTTGTTACGAAATAGATATTCCATAACATCAAGGAAATAATACTTTTTGTTTCATATAACAAACTCAAAAAAGACATAACTTAAAAATATTTGAATAACAAAATGTATTTAATGGGCCAGCGATGGCGATATCGGTTAGAGTGTGGGCTAGCACCAACTAGTCCCAGTTTCGCTGGTTTAATTCCCGCTACCGCCTAGACTGATATCAGGCAACTTTGATGTCAAATTTCCACTTGAGGTCAATTGAGCTCGTGAGTATAGTTGCACATATAATAAAAATGTCAGCAATTACTTCGAGTATAGATAATGAGGCCGTGAGGCCCGGGCCTAGGGCGGCACAATTTGGGGGCGGTAAATTTTTCCGAATGTCAAAATTTTAAACCCAAAAAATTGTCACGGTAATTTATTTGAAGGTTTGATCCTGATCTAGATAATTTTCTATGAAATAGAATGTTATTCGTTTTCTAATCAAACTTATTCAAGGGCGCCTCATTACTATATTAATTGATGTATCATGTTTAAAATAAAAACTATCAAATTGATAAGCTTTTTTGGGAGAAATAAAATCAAAACATTTTTTTGGAAAAAATAAATAATTTGATTTTTTTTTTTTTTTTTATTTTTATTGGCTTCCTCTTATTATACAATTAGCCATATAACATACATTTTAACTTAAATATTTTCTATATAATTTTAAATGTACATATTTATATTTTAATTTTTGATCTAACTAAAAATTCATATATTACTCTATAGCTATTCTTATTACAAATTAATAGATCTAAGTTAAACGGTTTGATAATATCTAAATTTCTATATATATAATTTAACATTCTTTTTCTGTTTTCTTCATATTTTTTACATTCCAGAATTATATGTTCCAGAGTATCTTCTTCCTCTCCACATTCACATATATCTGAATTTATCACTTTTATTCTATGCAAGTGTTTCGCATAGCTTCCGTGTTTGGTTCTTATCCGACTGATGGTGACAATAAAACTTCTTTCTTCATTTTTAAACTCTTCAAACCATGGTTTAAACGATAAACAGTCATTATATAATTTGTAATGCCTTCCTTTTCTTTGCGATGTTTCTCTCCATACTTCTTTCCATCTCTCCTCTGATTTAATTTTAATTTTCTTAATTATGTCACCATATAAGCATTTATTATATTCTTGTCCGCTTACACTTGCTGTTTTTGCCAGTTCATCAGCCTTTTCGTTTCCTTCCACACCTATATGACCTTGTACCCATCCAATATTTATGTTATTTCCAATCCCTGTAATTATCTCTATATCATTCAATATTTCAAAATATATTTTTTCTTCAAATTCTATTGTATTCATGAACTTCTCTAATCTATTTACACAACTTAAACTATCTGTTAAAATCATAGTTTTTTTATACTTAGTTCTGCCGAATAAATAGAAATAAACTCCGGGAGTTTATAACATATGGGTATTTTTTCCTTTTCGATCCATATTGCACATCCAACTCTATGTGAAACATTATTTCTCGACCCATCCGTATATAAAATTATACTATTAGGTCCATCGTGTTCTATCCACTTTTTATACTCTTTACTACAATCGTTCTTTTATTATAATACAGTTTTTCATAATATGGATGAACTCCATGGACTACGTTAAATTTCCTATAATCCTTCAAAAATTGAAAACTGCTTAGAATGTCTGGTACTTTTTTGTTTATCCAATATGTGCTCCTGTCTATACATCTCCATATTTCCATCAGTTTGTAATTCAACACAGATTCATTATTTATTATGTTTTTCAAAATATATTTATCACATAAGAGCTTTCGTCTTATTTCTAATGGCATTTCTCCACTTTCCAATAATAATACATTTGTTGGCGTTGACTTCATTGCTCCTATACATATTCTAAGACATCGATATTGAATCTTGTCTAAATCTTGAATTTTTCTACTGTTACTAATTATCCAAGAGCCATAATCTAATTTTGGTCGAATTAATACTCTATATAGGTTTAATGCTGAACTTGGATGTAAACCATTCCAAGTTTTATTTAACATTCTTAATATATTTATACTTTTTTCTGTCTTTTTTTTAATACTTTCTATATGTGTCTTGAATGCCAACTTTTGATCTAGATAAATTCCTAAAAATTTATTTATTTCTTGAACTTTTATATTATAATTTTTTGTTTGGATGCTTGTTGGGAAATTTCTTTTATTATGTCTAGTGAATATACCAATCGTACTTTTTTCTTCTGATAATGTTAAACCATTTTTGCTCAACCATAAATTGTATAAATCAATATTGTTTGTCATAATCTCCAAAGCATCTTTTAATGTTTTCCTTTCTACATAAATCACAACATCATCAGCATATTGTAAGATCTTTGTTCCAGGTACCCAAATTTTTTCTAAGTCATAAGCATATAAAGCATATAATAAAGGACTCAGTATATGAAACAAACCTAACTTTAATAATTTATCCATTAAAATATTAGGTATTACATTGTCATAAGCTCCCTTTATATCACTAAATAGTGCTACAACATATGTATTTTTAGAAAATGCCAAATATATGTCACTAATAAATATACTTAAATTATCCATTGTACTATGTTTTCTTCTGAAACCAAATTGAGTTCTTGGGAATATTTTATTATGTTCCAACCACCATTCTAGCCTCCTCTTTATCAATCTATCTTTTATCTTGGCTATGCACGAGCTTAAAGTTATTGGTCTATAGGCATCTATTTCATTTCTATTTATATTTGGTTTTCTTAATAAAATCACTTTATTAATATGCCAGTCATCAATTAATTCAGGCCTCTTCCAATATTTATTAATTATCTTTAGTAATAATTGTTTACCTTTTTCTGGGAGGTTTCTTAACATTGAATATTGAATATTATTTAATCCAGGCGCTGTATCCGTTCTTTTATTCCAGGTTTTTTCTAGTTTCCATTTTGTAAACGGTTTACTTAATAAATCATTTTCCATTTCCGCATACCCATTTAAATCTTCATCAATATTGTAACTAACTCCTGGTGGTGCTATTTTGTCTACTAGAACATCTAATACATCATCACTACATTTTGATACATTTCCCGATTCACCCATATTTAGCATAGATCTTACCATTTTGAAAACTTTCCTAGCGGGCGTTTTAGGTTTTATATTATTTATATATTCATTCCAGCTTTCTCTTTTTTTCAATTTGAAAATTCTTCTTACTTTTGCCTTGAATCTATTACATTCCATAAAGTTTTCCCAGTTTGCATTATTTCTGTATTTTGCTTCTATTTCTCTTCGTTTTTTAATTAAATCCAAGCACTCATTATCAAACCACATTGGTCTTCTGGTTTTATTCCTCACCTTATTAATTTGTATACTGCTGTTAGCTGCACTATCAATCCAATCTAATAATTCACTATAACTAACTTCTGTTGTAGAATTATCTATCTTTTCGCATTTTTCTTCTATAACGGATTTATATTTATCCCAGTCTGCTCGTTTACAATTCCATTTTCTTACTGATGTATTTATATATTTGTCATTTTTCACATTAAGTTCAACATGGATTGGAAAATGATCAGATCCCAGTGACTCCTTTTGCACTTCCCACTTTATCTTATTTATTATTTCTGATGAACATAAAGTTATATCAACCACCGTTTTTGTATTTTTGAATACCAGAGTCGGACTTCCATTGTTCACTAAAAATAAATTGTTTTCTTCAATTGATTCCAATAGTTCATTACCATATCTATCACTATATGAGCAACCCCACGCATAATGGTGAACATTAAAATCTCCCATAATGATACAAGGTTTTGGGATTTTACAGAATAATCTATTCCATTGCTCTTTTGAAATATTCGTTTTGGGAACAACATACAATGATATCAAATAATTTTTTTCCTTATTAACGTTAACTTCTGCTGCACACATTTGACAATTATTATCTTCGACTGATTCAAAATTTATTTCATATTCCCTACTATCTATATTTTTATTTATAAATAATGCCGACCCTCCTTTATTATCGTTCCTATCTTTTCTTATACAATTAAAATTTTTTAGATTATACTGCCTGTTCTTATTGAACCAGGTTTCTGATAATGCTATTATATCTAATTGTTTATTATATAACCACTCTTCTAAACTTTCTTTATTTGCATAAAACGATCTAATATTCCATTGCATTATTCTCATAATTTAATCCTTATATATATAAAAAATAATAACAATAATTAATTAATTAATTTAACATTACTTAACCAAATAAACAAATAAATACAATAGAACCTTAACTATCTTCTTATTATTTCTTTTTCAATATATATTTATATATATATATATATATATATATATTTTTTAATTTTTAAATTTTAAATTTATACCTACATACTCACACATTATTCTTTGCTAAATAAATAATTAATCAATTCCTTCAGAATAAACCATTTCTAATGATTTTTTTTCACTACCTTTACCTAAACTTTCTAAAACTAATTCTAATTTTGTTTTTATCAAATTCATATTTTCTTCTTTATTTACATCTATCCCATATCTCTGATCCTCTAGTTTTTTAATTATATTCATAATATCACTTCTCAATTGTATCCTCCGTGCAGTTGATATTTCTCTAATCTCATTTCTTTTATTCCTTCTGTTTGAGTTAGTACTATCATTTCTTTCTACTAAATCTACCCCTGACCGATGTTCAAAATTTCTGTTGTAAAAATTTCTCATATTATTCCTATTATATGGCTCATTTATTCTCATTAACACTTCTTTGTCATAATATTCTTCTTTTTCCTTCCAATTTGATAGTATTTGATACCTATTACTACTTGATGTACTTGAATTCCGTGCAGTGGTATTAATGATTTCTGGGTAACTACTTTCATATGTTTTAAACTGATTGGTGTTACCAACTGCTTCAGCGTATCCATTGTTTTGCACTATCTTTCTTGTTTCGGAATATGTTATATTCTGCATTGCCATAATCTCTTTAATTTTTTTATTTTTTAAGTAAACCTCACAGCCTTTATCATCCGCTAGATGATTTCGATAACATAGACCGCATATCACTAATTCACTTTTACATACCTTCATTTTATGTTCCTCTGCACACTTTTTACAACGTATTTTACTTTTACATTGGGCCTGTACGTGACCATACCTCCAGCAATTGTGGCACTGTATTACTTTCTGAATAAATGGTTCAACCCTACAACTCATTGAATGTATATAAACTCTTTCCGGTAATTTATTACCTCTAAATACAATTTTGACTCGTTGTGATCTAACCTTTTTTGTTTCATTATTTCTACCCTTTAAACATTTAATTGCCAAAACTTCACAATCACTTCGAATACTGCTCAATATTTCTTTTTCATCTATTTCTGGGTCAATATCAAAGATAATTCCCGATCTCATTAATTTGTGTCTAGGTATATATGCATTAATTATAATATTTCTAATAATTTTTTTCTTATTATTCTATTTGCACTCTTATAATTTTTCAATACTATATTTATTTTATTTTTACCGATTGATCTGATTTCTTCTATATATTTACTCAAATTTATTAAATGTTTATGAAAGATTCTTCCTACTGCCATTGGGTGAAATCTTCCAATATTTTTATCTTTACTCTCAGCATGCACTATGAATGGGCCTTCATCCGTTTCTTGATAAAATTTCATTTCTTTAATAGTTTCCATGTCCTTTACACACATATTATACCAATTATTATTGTTTTCTTTGTTTTCATTTACTACTGAATTATTATCACTAGTTTGATTTGCATTTGCCTCTTCAATTACATCTGCTTTTAACTTTTTATTTGTACTTTCCGATCTGTCATTTATTGAATTATTACCAGTCATTACATTATTTTCATTATAAATTCTATATGTTTCACCATCTTTCCTATTAATTATTCCCGATTTATCTCTAATATTAGTAGTATCATTTACCCAATGAATTTTGTCACCTTCTGTGACATAATATGTATTATAATCCCACTCCAATTCACTTTCACTACTTGTATTTATATCAACATCTGATAACGATTGTGACTCACCGCCACCCGGGTCAGGTGGCTCGGTATCCATAATAACCCGTTATAATTTCTTCTATTCACTACAATCAAAATTATACTATTAAATAAATATTTTGAACGATGTGCTCACTACGGCTGCCGAAACTCGACTGAAATAATTTGATAATTTTTAAAATAAAAATTATCAAATTGATATGCTTTTTGGGGAGAAATATTGAAGCTCTGTTCATTGCTTGCAACTTGAATCTTACATATAAAAGGCTTTAAAATGGTTTTAAATGGTTTCTTAATTTAGTTCGGAAATTAACATAATACATTAATTGTTATTGTATGATAATTTAATTATTTCGTTGTTCGTATATATTTTTTTCTTTAAAATGACATGAAATAAGATAAAAGTGAACCTAAACTAAAATATCTGCCAATTTGGTGTGCTTATGTTCATTGATCATTTTTGGCATTCCTTTCACGGGTAAGTCATAGTAATTTGAAAAACAAAACGTAAATGAAATTGTTTATGAATATTTACGTTTCAAACCCTTCTGAACATTTTGGCATACCTTAGAAAAAATAAATGTATGATTGTGTATTTGCGGTTACATTTTTTGTGACGAATCAATCGATTGAATGATTCAATTGTCGGGAAGACGTGCTGATTAGTTTTTGGTAAAGACAGTTTCGCCCATTTCGGAATAGGGGGCAAAATGATAAAAAATAGCTATTCAATTTTTTAGAGGCCCATTCTCTATCCGATTGAAAAATTCAAAACATTTTACTTGTGCGACAAAATAAAGAATTGACTAAATTCTTGCGATGGCAGAGTCAGCGTTTTTGGTGATCCAAAAAAGTGCCATTTGATGGTCAAAAATTATCAATGTAGATTTGCACATCAAATTATCAGATTTTTTTACGAAAATTTTAATGATCAGTACATATTTTGTTTTCATTTTTAACTTCTCGCGAGGTAAGTTATAGTAGTTGAAAAAAACGAAAATTTTTATTTTGCATATCATTACGTTTCAAAGGTTCCTAAACATGTATGCATTAGAAAAATGTATGTTTGTGTGGGCGTGTGTTTGGATGTAAGTAATATGTATGTATGAAATTAAGACGAATACTAATTTTCGTCCACGATTTCGAGAGCACGGATCAACCGATTTGCATGATTCAATTCCTACTGATAGGGAGACGTACTGATTAGTTTTTGGCAAAGGCAGGTTCAGCCATTTTGAAGATGCGGGGCAAAAAATGCCAAAAATAGAAATTCGGTTTTTGAGCAAACGGAGTGTCTGATTTGAATGATTCAAAAACATTTAACTCATATTGACGAAATGAAGAATTAGCCAATTTTTGGGAAGGCAGGTTCAGCGGTTGTGAAGATCCAGAAAAAAGTTATGAAAATAACACTTGGTGATGAAAAATGATCTTTGGACATACGCACATCAAATTATCAGATACTTTATATGAATATTAATAAGAAGAACAAATTTTGTTAACATTGCTTTGCAAAAAAACTCTAAATTTTCAAACAAACTGCTCCTTCGGGAAGTTTGTAATAAGTCAGCCCTAGTAGATAATTTCTAATAATGAAGTAATGAAATATAGATGGAACAACAATCGGCTCACGTTCTACAAAAGTACGACATAGGGAAAAGATTAAGGGTGTAAGGTTCTGATTTCTAGACTTTTTGCTTCGTATCTTCGAAACGGCTAGACCAGCCTTAGCAAAAACCTAATCAGAACGTCTTTGTATCAATCGGAATCGAACATACATACATACATATACACATACACGTTTTGAAGTATACCAAAATGTTCAGAGCAATGAGCAATTACTATAACTTACCCAACGCAAAGTTAAAAATTATATCTAAATAATTTAAAATAAATTGTTTAATTAAAAAAGTAAAATTTTGACTATTCAAAAGGGCGCCTGAACAGATAGGGCCTAGGGCGGCAGAAAGCTTAATCTGCCACACCCAGCGGCTGGGTGTTGCTACTATCTTCTGGTTTATATAAAAATTATATTGTTAGCAATCTCTGCTTAATGATGGCTTAATGTTAATGCTCATGTAAAACAGATTGCAGAATAAATTAGATAAAAAAAGTTATTTTGTCATCTGAAAAAAAATTATAGAATCACTTTTTTGATAAAATCGCTTTAAGTAAAAAAGTGTGTATAATGAATCATACAGATAATTAATTCTGTGTTTTCTTATCCTTTTTGTGTGTCACCAAGAAAAAAGGGAACACAGTGCAATATATTTAGAACCTTTGCATAAACATGTCATCGACCAAATACTAAAGATTAGTCAAACAAAACATTTGGCTATTAATATCTGTTTTCGAAGACAGAAAAAAAATCGGTTTGTGTGTGATACTGGGTCAAGTGCACGAAGTTTGAGATTTACGTGTTTAAAATCTTTTGAGCTAAAATATCAAACATAAAATACTTGAAACGACCCAAAAACTGTTTGACGATTTATATATAACTTCACAAAATTGAAACTGATATGAATATTTGACCGTTTTTTTCTTACGTTCAGAAAAAATAACACACACATTTTTAGAAATATTATAAACTTAAATAAGTTAAACAAATATAAATTTTACCAATTTGAGTAATTGAAATAAATTTAAGTTTAATCATTTTAAACAAGTTAAATAACTTTATATTCAACAATTTTATATAAATTTTAGTACTAGTTCTATTAATATCAGGTAATAATTTTAACAGAAGCATCAA